ATGCGCAAGGTTGATACGCGATGCATCGTATTTTATTTCCCTTTCCCGTTTGATTCACATGCGACACGATGGACCGTTCGAAAGGTCATCGCGTACCGAACGCCAGATGAATCTGTGACACTGATCTCGGTGCTGATGTTTTCACACCATCTTTTTATTAAACGAAAGATAATTCTTTTTATTATGTCGTTGACGGTGTTTAAGGATGTATATGTCATATGTCAAAACATTGGCAAAATATGAAAATTTCGTAGACTGTTCTACTATTTCTTCTGAATATCTATGCGAAACCCGAGCACAATTTTCTTAATGGTTTAGAAATTATTTAAGTTTAAAGTTAATATTGATTTTTATGGAAAATCGCGTGTTGTAACATTTATTGACAAATTTGATAAGGAAAAAACATTGCCAACGAAATAAAAATTTTCACTTTCATTAAGAAAAGTCTAATAAATATTTGTACAAAACTTGATTTAAATCTATTTACTCATTTAAAAATTATTTACTAAAAATGGTAGAAAAATATTATCTTTCTCTCTCTCTTTCTCTCTCTCTCTGCAAATTATTCGTTTTCTTTTGTTTCTTGCACTTGATTTCAGGGAGTATTCACGATCAAAAGTTTTTGTCATAAATTTGGAAAAATATTAATTATTATTTTCTTTTACGAAGATGTTAAAAACCATATTATTTTGTGATACTTTAATTCTTTTTATAATCCGGATTTATTTATTTGATTTTTCAAATAATATAAACGTAAGAAATGTTTTTTTTTTTTTAATTTTGAGAGTTTTTTGCTGCTATTGTACCAAAACATCCTTTTAAATATCCGCAACTTTATATCCGCGTAATCTCAGATCGTAAAGTGAATCATTCAAAAGACTTGGCGAATCAAGCGTATGGACTTTTCTGGAGATGGAAACTTACGTTAATCAGTAGCATGCCCTCAATATTCGCGGAATGCAAGATTCCAACCAGTTTAAAACTAAGAAATCAACCATCTCTGACTCAAATTCTCACATTGGAAGAGAGAGAGAGACAGCAATAATCGCGAATTATCATGGATAATATTAATTAAATAAAAGTATAAATATTATATTGCTCCTCTCGTTCAAATCAACGAACATACGATGTTTACATAAATGAGATATGTAGAGTTTCGAGCGTGAATAATCGCATTTCCGTACGTGCAATTCCTTCCACCAGTGTTGTCACGTAAGCACGTGCCTGTGGTTACTTGCCTCGCAAATTTATACAGTTGAATGACGGAAGTCGAAATAACATTGTCCATTGTAGAGCTAGGAAATTAATGTCTAATACGATATTCAATGTAACGATCCGTTGTGAATTCCGTGCAGGAAGGTAAGCGATTTCCTCCAAGAAAATTCTCCGCACAAACGTTTAAAAAATTCTTCCGACCTTATAATAATAATATTGTTGATATTTAGTGCGTAACAAATCATAATCGGACTTTCCTCCCATTTCCAATTTCGAATTGTAAAATCTCACCGAGACGTCGTTTCTTCCGTCACGTTTAACGACGTAAAGAAGTTGTATGAAAAACAAAGAGAAAAAAATATGACAGAATCGATTTCACGACTTTGTCGCAATTATCGTCGTTACGTTTGTCACGTTTTTCTAGTTTTACAATTCCACGCTTTGTTTCACGAATATTGTCGCAATTGCAACAACACACTTTACGCTTAATTTGTGGATTTGTTTTACAAAGTTTTGTTTTACATAAAATATAAATTCTTTTTATTACGTCGGATATTTTTATTGGAAACTTATAATTCAGATATCGTGCGCAAATATTTTGTTTTCGTCTATCGATAAAAATATTCTCGGCGAAACACGTCTTGTTTATAAGCGGAATCGCATACGGATTATTCCGTAGTCTACGCGATGTCTGAACGCAACTTTAATTTTGTAAGAAAAAAGAAAATGCAGCATGACGCTCCGGTGCAAAGTTTCAAACGTTCAAACAATCTAGAGAACGTTCTTTCCTTCGCGTTTCCACGTATATATAAACGTCAGTGTTGATTGCGGTTCGCGTGAGAGCTTCGATGAAATATGTATTACGCGTTCCGGTTGAAATTAAAAAGATATAAATTTTGCTGTGAAATGGATAACAGTCACGCATACAATTATTTATTTAATGATTTTGTAGAATTGATTGTTTGCAAGTAAAAATGAAAGTGAATCCTTTCTCGCCTGTTTGTTCACAAAGAAATTGTACTCGCGAATCGAACAACGATCGATTTGCATCCACGCATGTTCAGATACGTTCGTGCACCCATTGAAGGAGACTGCATCTGAACGTATACATACTAGGGAATTGAATATTTTATTATTATCGCTTATTTTACGACGTATTATTTTTTTTCTTTGTTGCCACACGTTTCTCCAACCATTGTTAAAGATATTTTTGGCTGTAGCAAAATGTCAAAATTAAAAAAAAACATTTTTTACGTTTATACTGTTTGAAAAAACAAATAAATAAATCCGGATTATAAAAAGAATTAAAATATTACAAAATAATATGGTTTTTAACGTCTTTGTAAAAGAAAATCAAGTGAATTTAAATCAAGTTTTGCACAAATATTTATTAAAGTTTTCTTAATATATGTGAAAATTTTTATTTCGTTGGCAATGTTTTTTCCTTGTCAAATTTGTCAACAAGTGCTATAATACGCGATTTTCCATAAAAATCAATAGTAACTTTAAACTTAAATAATTTCCAAACCGTTAAGAAAATTGTACTCGGGTTTTGCATAGATATTCAGAAGAAATAGTAGAACAGTCTATGAAATTTTCATGCTTCTATCAATGTTTTGACATATGACACATACATCCTTAAATCGAAGCAGGAAATATTAATTTTATCGAAGAACATTGAGGGGAAAAAAAAAAATACGGTTAAAACACAATGACTGTTTCATAGTCTTAAAAAGTCTAAGAGACATTATTGTGGTACGCATCTGCATTTACAGGGGATAAAGCGTGCGCGTTCTTTTGTTCACCTTCATACGGTTCGCTGCATATTATCGGCGCTACGAAAAGAAGCTGGCGCTATGTATTTATACATTATAGCATGTATATTATGTATACTTCATCTCCGCGACGACAAGAGCAGACGGCGATCGGTGCTGACCATGGATGGGTTCACTGATCCCATCGTCTTCGAAGTATACACTCCTTCATCGCATCGCAGCTTTGAGATGCGAAATATATGCTCGTTTGTGTTGAAAAAAAGAATGAGCAAGAAAGAAGAGAGAGAGAGAAGACGGGGAATCGAAGAGAAGAGAAGGCAACTCTTGAAATCTCTCTTACACCCGAGGGAGAACATGGCCATGATGTGAAAGCAAAAGAGGAGCATGCGTTACATCCGAGCATATTTCGTGCACTGCTGAATGTCAATGCTTGAGACGATTCTCAAAAGTAAAATAAACCAACTTCTCTCTCCGCAAAAAACTGAATTATTTTAATATAATATCTCAACAAATTTAAAACCCATTAGCTGAACGATATATATATATATATGGATTTTAGAATTTTAATCATTATTTTCATTCTAATTATTATTTTTCCATTCGATGTATGTCGTCGAAGAAAAATTTTGGACAGTAATTTTTGGATCGATTATAGTATAAAAGAATTAGATAAATATATTACACACGCTATATAATATATAGGTAATTGAATAAATTAATGCTTGCGATGTTACACTCGCAGAATATCATGATGCATCAACGACAGTCAGTGAATATCGTTACAAGCGTCTATCTATCTTTTCTTTGAGGCAAATAACGCCAGTCAGGGCCACCAAAGAGGTATATTAATTGCAGACATCTCTCATCGATAAGTCGCTCTTCGGCTATGAGAAAAACGCACGAGTGCATTCGCTCGCTTCTGTTTGCGATAGACTATACGAGATGAGGACTACCCTCCTCTTGTGCGCGTTTCCGAGGACAAAAAGGACCTTGAAAAATTCTTCAACTAGAGTCACCGACATTCCCACAGGAGTCATCCCATTATATTTAAATTAGATGAATATAATATGCATTTCTCTCTTCGGTCTCTGCGTAGGAGTACATCCGTGATACATATATACACGCGCGCACGCACAGAGAACGAATGTTTTCTTATTTCTATGCCAATATATGAGCTTCATTTTACATATGTACCGTCGAAATGTATGTGACATGTACAATTTTTTTTTTATGCGATATTTAATGTCACAAGAAGGGATTCGAGTTGCGCTTGAAGAATACACAATTTCTGCTAAAGTTCTTTATTATTATCACACGTATGGAAACGTACAGCGGAGCGTAAAATGCAGAAAAAAATATAATAACAATAATAATAATATTAATAATAGTTGAGTAAACAGATTTACGCATCGAGCCTTTACTAAAGTTAATCGTGTTAAACGCGTACGTCTTTCATTATATCTTAATCGCGCAATTAATTATATTCGATCAGTTAATTAGTTGAATCGGCAATATACAATAATTCATAAATTTATGTTTATTTCTTATTGCGAATATCACTTTGTTCTAAAAAGTAAAAGGGTAATTTTAGCTTTATATCATTCATCGATAATTCAATGCGATGCAAGACTATCCCTCTATTTGTCATTATTCTTAAATTAATCTTAAATAATAAATGTAAATAAAAAATTAATTATTAGATTTCTATTAAAATTAATAAAACATGTTTAATTCTGCTAAACATTTTAATTAAATAATTATATATACCTCGATTTTTGACAAAAATGAATCGGGCAAATCGTTATCGGATTCGAGCAGCAAGATTCAATCGACCAACATATACGCACACACATTTTTTTTTAGAACATTAAATAATATTTTTATTATATTCATAAAAATTAAAATGTACACACCTTATTGTTCAAGTCATACTTGTCTCAGCTGTATCGCGCTATGTATATTATTTAACAAGATATAGATACTCTCTTGAGACGCGAAACGAGCTTATGAAATGAATATACGATTTTTTTTTTTTTTTTCATAAATGACAAAATTCTGGAGAAAGGGGTGATACAGTGTTTAGCTTATCTCGATAGATATCATAATATTATTGACTGCTTATAAAATAATACTATTACACGGTAATCATCCCTTGATTTTACGACACAGTTCTAGTGTATTCCTCGTTAATAATAATTAGCTCTTAGATAGCCTACGAGATCGAAAAGTACATTTTTGCTTTTGCGGCAAAGAATGGTAATCGCTTAAGTAAGAATGCTTGCTGCAGCTATAAAAAGGATGAATAGCTTTCATTTCAATTACAAGAAAAATTACATGGAATATATTCGCTAGTTACATTTTCTTTATTTTGCCTTTATCTTCCTCACGTAGCATGTTAAAGCGGGTATGTCTCTAATGAATACGCATATGACTGTATATGCATGCATGCGTGATGTGTAAGACATGAAAATTGTGCGGGTGATATATTTCTGATACCCGTGGACGCACGTTGCCCTAACCGAATCGCAAACCTAACTTCTAATCATAAGATTACGAAGAAACGTCTCGAAACACACTAATATATTACGCATTTTAATTTGAGCGAAAGAAAGAGCCAAAGAAAATGGGATTTGTGGAATATTTACGAGATCCATCTCCTTCAAATCAATTCAGATTAATCCAAAAAACGATTTCAAACATTCCTATGCTTATCAGTTGCTTATTAATTTCATAAGAAAAATTCTGAATTTTGTTAAAATGGATATATTACACAGGCAATAGAGTCTCGTTAATTTTTTAAGGATAGAAGAGAAAAATTTTTGGAAAATAAAAAATAACGAATATCCTACTTCACACTAATTGTGGGATGCAATATTACAGTATTTGTGAAAATATGTGTGCCAAAATTAACGCGGGGTCAAATTTTAATAGACTCTACTTTGCACTCGTATTTTATCCAACTTTTAATGTTAGAATTTTATAAATAATATTTCAATTTTTGAAGCGTGTAAGTAAGATGGATCGCGATTAGAATATTCCATGCTAACATTCAGAGAAGTAAATATTAAACATTATGCCAGAATATATGTACTATACGAACTATACCAACACGAGTGCATAGAGGTACTTACTAGCTCAATCGCGCTACCTATATTTTTTAAATATTGAAATTTCGATCGGGCTGAATCAATAATTCGATCGACTTGAATTGCTATGCACAATGCAAAATAAATGTCTTTTATATCACTTATATATATTTATATATATAAGTCCGCTAATTATATTTTCGTACTATAAGAAATTTTTACACCCATGGTATATGGTGTCTTTATATTATTGGTGCGCTATTTATGATGTATGTATAGAAGTTGATTCTTGCGATTACTTACGACTGTAATCTCGAGAAAATAATGTTTTACATTACATCGTAAATACCTTCATGTACCATTCGATAATTCAATTAATTATTAATTGGTAGAGTTTTTCGAATTATACAATAAATTTGTTTTCAAACTATTTAAAACATTTTCTAGATCTATTCTAATTTGTAAACAATGTGCAACATAAATTGTTTAACCCACCATTATCTATCGAATGATTGAAAGTTAGTCGAAGTAATAAGTTATAAATAAAAATAATAATTTATGCGAAAAAGGGGGGAGGGAGCGGAAGCTACAGCAGTCTGTAAGAAGTAAATAATAAGCATATATCGATGAGCATTGAATCTGGATGTTATATGAATCACATTATTACGACATTGACAGTCAATATCCTACAAGTTGTTCTTGTATAGTTTGGAGCTTTATATGACACTCCATCCAAGTGTGTGTATAATCGCTGAATATGAACTGGCTAAATACTTTTTTTTTTTCTTCGTTTTTTTAATCGCACAATGCAAAAATAGGCTTTCCTATTACCGGTTATCTACAACCAGACGACATAGCATCCTATCGATCTACAAAGAGAATTTCCGAAATTCTTATTATCTAATTATCAACTGTATCATTCATTATTTCTGGCAGAAGAGGCTCTACACTTATAGCGTAAAATCGCCGATCGACTGAAACTATTTATTACACACTTTGAAATATTTACGTCGCCATTTCTCTGCCACCATCATTGCACAATATTTACCAAGTAGATAGAAAGATTCGGTCGATTCGGTGATTATCGTGTTTATGTTGGGTATCCATCTGATCCACGCTATACCGTAAAACATTGATATCTCATTTCGATTGATTAGAAAGAAAGAGGAAGAAACGTTTGTGTATGTATATATATATATGTCAAATGTTTTATTTGATGTAAGATATTAGGATCAAAATTAACGAATCGAAATGTAAATCCTCTACGGCTGAGTGCAATGGATCTATTCGAATATTTGATCTGATTTGATTTTCTCGAAAGGAAGATATGATTTTTCGCGTATATAGAGGATATTATAAGATACATATATGACAAGTAGCGTGGATCAAACGGATTCGGCACAAACGTGGCGTCTCTAATAAGTGACTTTTTTTTTTTTTTAGTTTTCTCAGCGATGAAAGAGATAGCCGTGTTTGATATCACGATTTGTGTGACAATCGTATTTATAATTACACCAAGTTGAACGCGCGCGAGTGTCGTGGACCTAACATATATGTATAGTGCCGCCTTGATAAATCTATTTAATGCGATTAGAATAAATGAGAAGAGATATATGAAGCAAATACACACTTCGCTAATTTTTCTTATGTTACCATGATAACCGATAAACGTAACGAATAAGATGTTTCGTCACTTTCTTCGTGACACATACTCTCTTTGTTATTTTCCCGTTATATATATGCTTCTCTTCTCTTTTTTTTTTCTCGTTTTTTTTCTTATACATTACATTAAAATATAACACCAATCTCGAGACTTATGTTGTACATATACATGTGTGTAGATTTTACATTAATATGATCGCGTCCCCGAACAGTCTTACTGTGAAAACTGGTTTATAGAAGAGTTCCGAATTCAAGATTACATACTCTTGCACTTCTTCGCTTAATTGACAATATTTAAGCGCACCCGCTTGACAAATGCGGTCGATAAGACACTTCGAGAGAAGTGTGAATCATTAAATACATAGAGATAGAATTAATATTGTAGTCTCTTGCGATGAAATGCATTTAATATACATATGTATCGCGGCAAATAATATAAAACATAAAATATTTATGTCGTTAAGTAGAAATATATTTTAAGAAAAATTTTTTCGATACAATTTATATAATATAAATTTGTATCAAATTAATCATTATCTATCTATTATAAAAATAAGGTCGTTCTCGCTGTCGTCTTATCGACTCACGATCCTTAAATTTGTCCGATGTGCATAATCTTTTTTTTAAAATATATTTTATTCTTTCGTACATAGAAAATCACGATAGAAAATAAATTGCTCGAGTTGTAACCTTCGTCATAATTTACATAATTAATCGGCAGCAGCGTTTGAGACGTTTTAGAATTTCGCGATACTTTGACAGGGTGTCTGTTCAAATCTTATAAAAAAAATTCCCTGATTTTTTAGATATCTTTAATCAAGATTCCAGATAAAGAGAATATTTTGAAGATTTTTTAGTGCAATTTCCTAAAATAAAATTTTTCGACGTTTTGTTGAGATATTGAATATATAAACAGAGACAGATATGTATTTATAATATATATTTTAAATATATAATTCAGAGAGACATAGAAACCCTGTTTAAAGAGAAGAGAATTACGAAAATAAGCGCGTAATTCGGCGCATGTGATATCTTCAAGTACGGGAATAAAAAAAATCGAGGAAAAATAGCGTAAATAGCAAAACATCGGTTAATTTCACAGCCATAGTTAGGAGACTCGATTTTGATCATGTGGACCCTCCTGTGCGATTCTTTGGAACTTTGGACCGTGAGCGCGTGTCATTTGCAGTTTCGATCGCGTTTAATAATGTCAAACTCGGAAGTCTTCCAGAGGTAAAATCGCGCGATTGGTCGAAAATATTATATTCTAGAATCATATTTAGGGTACAAAGTATAGCGTGAACAATTATTTTTAGACAATTGTAACGGTAAAAATGGACATTGTCTTATTGCGGGATGGAATAGGCTGTGTAAGCTCTGTCAATGCTAGATGCTCCACTGCAGCTTTTCGAACATTATATTCCTGATAACATAATGATAATCATTTGATGTTAACCCCCTATAAGGCCACGATTAAAAAAAAAATCTTAGTTTCTTGATTATTGTTGAGAGATGTGTTGTTTTTCAATTTCCATTTAATTTAATATATTTTTTCGTATTTTTATTTTCTTTTTCCTTGGGTAATATATATGTGTGTGTATTGTGAGATAAAACAACTTTATTTTTTTGGCTGTATGTTTATAAAGAATTCGTAAAAAATATAATCCAATAGTTTTTGTTATATGTAAAATACACAGTGAAAATCATACATGACTATTTTTGAACAATATATCGCGCTATCCTTGAAGTAGAAAAGGGAAACAAGTTTCGTTTTGCAAGCGATATACGAGTTCCAATGCGTTCAAAGCAATATAAATGTCGATTGCAATGTAATAATGCAAAAACCGAAAACATGTAATTAAAACAAAGAATTTATTAACGTTATTGCATGCCGGGCAAGCATGTAGCATCATTCTGACATGTGGAGTCTTATAATTTGTGTTTCTTCCTCAACGATCTCGATTACCAAAAATGGACAGATGCCTTGCAAGGTTACAAAGTTTCCTTCTCGTGGAGATAATTGTCATTTATATAAAAACGGTGCAATTGTCTGTCACGTTAAGGAAACATTGCGCCGCGCGTGGCGATTATTATTATATTCAATAAATATTACATAAGTAATTTATATTCATTAGTAATTTATATTCATTATTGATAATATAAGTATTGTTCTAATTGGACAGAGGAGTTGTTTTCACAATTTGGGCAAATGTTACCGAGTAACCTTAGTCGTTAAGCGCTTATTTTTTATCTTTTTCCTCGTATTCGTTACGACACAATCTATTCCATGAATTAAGAAGGAAATCTAATAGTTCTCATCGATTTTGAATTGTGATTATGTGTAGTAGCTTTTGGAATAAAGCCAAATTTAATTCTCATAATGGGAATAACTGTTATTTGATAATGCGTGAATCATGTTAAAGAGAAATATGAAATGTGTATAGATTGTTTGCTAATGTTTATATTGCCATGTCTATAGACAAAGTGAGATATAACGTCGGCAACCCAGACGTTCACCAAAAAATTTAATGAATATACAGCTATATGCAATTAATACAACAAAGCAAGCTCATTTATATTTATATATATATATATATATAGTTTTTCTAATACCTAAACCTAATATTGCGACTCGACGTTGACAACTTGGACGTTGTATCTTTGGACATTTGCAACTTGTCTCTTAAATCAATTAACTACAGTATTTAAGGATCAGTTTGCAATTTCCAAAAATGCAATATGCATTTAGAATGTATAAATTAAGATGTGTCATATTCGTGTAATAGGGTAACGGTGAGAAAAGATGTATGTTACAATAAAAAGGAACTTATACATAATCGCGCTAAAAAAATACAATATATGAAACAATTGTATACATATAAAATCTTTAAATAATCTACACAACGCGGTAAAGTATATGTAAAGTGTCTTTTAACGTTTTCATCCTTTCATTGGGCACTTTTCCAGCAGCGTGTAAATTACCGTAAGGTAATTTTGGAAAGTGTATAATCCAATGATGATGTGTGAAAAAGCCAATATTTAAATCGATTTATTATTATCGTATCCATCGCGTCAACACGGACCGATTTCATAAATGCAAAGTATGTGTACCGTTACATGGAATATATACATGAAATTGTCGTTACATATCTCAGATTGACATACACAGAGTAAAAGAAAAAATGTCGCATTGACTTTTGATTCCTTTAAAATGTACAATTAAATCGCACACAATTATGCTTCCTTCCTCTCGCGTAAAACAAATGCTTCCAGTCGTGATAAAAATTGTGGAATGCTCGTAAATGAATAAACGCTGCCGACTTTCGATACATAGCGGCAATTATATATCGGTCACTATCTTCGAAAGTAGATACACCACTCACGCAGCATGATCCGAGTCGAAAACAACCCACGCTTCGTGTGTGGGTTCATAACACATTAATGACCTAATATTTCAAGTATTACTTTGAGGATAATCAATAGCTGCCCTCTAAATGTCTAAAGGACTGAAACATTGCTGCTACACATATCATAGGCATGCAGCAATTAGGATACTTATGTAGTGGCTTTTACCAACACGAAGTAATGTCGAAGCTGTGTACGATTCGTTTATTTGCCGCGTGAAAAAGAACGTAGTGTACCTGCTGTAGAGAGGCCTTCCCCTCGGCTACGACTTCGGTGCAAGGAATGTAAGCCTTCCCCTATAAAAGAAGCAATAATTTTCCAATAAACATCGCTTTAACAATGACGTATTAATGTAATAAAATAATCGATGCAAAGTTACCTTTGCTAACGCTCCTGCGCATTAATGCGGATGGTGCTGGTGCAGATTCCTGCTTGGTGTAGCTTCTAAGCGCTCGTCCCCGTCTGTCTTGAATTAGCTTATCCACTTTAACAAATATACCACATTTTGGCCTACAGGTAAAATATCTATGACCATTAACAGCACCATCGTTCTTGCCTAGAACATAATAAAAGACATATCTTATACAATCTATAGAGGAAAAATAATAAGTTACTGTAAGAAAATTGTGTATTTTTTATTCGCACCAGTTGGAGCATCAAGTTCAACTCCTATCCAAGTTCCGGATGCAAATTCTGTAGGGCCAACATATGCTATGACTCCGGAATAACTGTAAGGACGAACCAGGACTGATTCACCAACGACGACCCAATCTGGTAAAAGAGTTTCCATTCGAGTTAAATCATGTCTTGAACCAAAAGCCGAACTTTTGTCGCTGACATCATCTGCTGCAAAAAAAATAAATCTTTTATATACATAATCAAGATTTAATAAAAGGAAAACCACGCACATATAGTGGTGCACAATTTAAAAATCAAAGTATAAAAATTCGAGAGATCTTTCAAAACAAAGATTAATAATTTCAATCTTAATTCGAGCAACTTGTCGAAAAATGAAAACGCTGTCAAAATATAATACTGCCAAACTAATTGCTTGAATTAATAATACCATCGATTCTCTCCGAAGAACTATTGTCGCCGTTTTCATATGACATATTAGGTTGTAGCGTTTGTTCCAAACGTGCTGCAGCCTTACTCTCGGAAAGTTGTGGACGGACCATAGGAAACGAAGCTCTATGCTGTGAACTGGTAGGCCTTCCAGTACCGCTACAAGTCTTTTTTCTTCGCACGACCTACATGAAATTAAAAAATTAATAAAGCCACACACACACACACACGCGCGCGCGCGCGCGCACACACACACAC